ACCCCTGAGCTTCCGGGGGCTCTGTCCCCGGGACCCAACCAAGGGCACTTGAACAGGCCCCTTGCCTACTCATCTGACCAAAATTTAGTGCCTAAAACCCTTGATCTTCTGGGGGCTCCGCCCGCTGGACCTCACGCCAATCAGTGTCCTGCCAGTGTCACAAATAAAGTATAAAAATATGTTCATCTGACCGTAATCAAATGCCTAAACCCCCGAGCTTCCGGGGGCTCTGCCCCCTAGACCCTACTGGATGCTAATCTGACGGCAATGTAATGCCTAAAACCCCTGAGCTTCTTGGGGCTCCGCTCGCTGGACCTCACGCAAATCAGTGTCCACCCAGTTTCACAAATAAGGTATAAAAATTATGTTCATCATTCTGACCGTAATCAAATGCCTGAAACCCCTGAGCTTCCGGGGGCTCTGTCCCCGGGACCCAACCAAGGGCACTTGGGCAGGCCCCTTGCCTACTCATCTGACCAAAATTTAGTGCCTAAAACCCTTGATCTTCTGGGGGCTCCGCCCGCTGGACCTCACGCCAATCAGTGTCCTGCCAGTGTCACAAATAAAGTATAAAAATATGTTCATCTGACCGTAATCAAATGCCTAAACCCCCGAGCTTCCGGGGGCTCTGCCCCCTAGACCCTACTGGATGCTAATCTGACGGCAATGTAATGCCTAAAACCCCTGAGCTTCTTGGGGCTCCGCTCGCTGGACCTCACGCAAATCAGTGTCCACCCAGTTTCACAAATAAGGTATAAAAATTATGTTCATCATTCTGACCGTAATCAAATGCCTGAAACCCCTGAGAATTCAGGGGTTTCCGCACCCTCGACCCCACCAGGGGCCCTGAGGCGGCCCCTGAATACTTATCTGACCGTAATTTGCCTTCAACCCATGGGGCGGACAAGGTATCAAAATCGTCTTGTTTCTCTAATAATTGAATTAAATGTCAAAGCTTCCGCGCTTGGCGCAGGAGGTGTGGATTAAGAGTCGGGAACGGTACAACAAATCGTCTTCTTTCTCTAAAGATTTAATGAAACGTAAAAGCTTCCGCGCTTCGCGCGCGCGGATAGGAGGGGGGGAAACTGAATTCAGACGAGGATTAAGAGTCGAAAACGGTACAACGAATCGTCTTCTTTCTCTAATGATTTAATGAAATGTACAAGCTTCCGCGCTTCGCGCGGGAGGGGGGGGGGGGGGGGACTGAAAACAAACGAGGATTAAGAGTCGAAAACTGTAATCAGAAGAGCAGGCGCGTACGGAGGGGGGGGGGGGATTTGGGGTTGAACCTCCCCCTGTTCGGTTTTTTGTTATGTGTGTATCTTGGAGCAACCCCCCCTCTTTTTAATTATTATTTTTAATTATGCCAATGGCTGTCCTAAAAAAGGTGACCTCAACACCCCCCCCCCTACGGAACAAAATGTCAATTTTTCAAATTTTGAGACCCCCAAAAAAGTGTCCTCTTACCCCCCCCCCCCCCCCCCCCGCTTCCTCTTTTTTTTTCCCTTTTAGCTCTCCTCTTTCCCTTCCCCTTTTTCCCCTTCTTTTTTGGCGGTGGGGGAGGGGGGGGGGGGAAGAGGCAAGGGCCTTTTGCCCCCCCCCGATCCACAACTTGTTGGCGGAAAAAATAGTAACTGATATTCCCCTTCTTTTCTTATCTTCTTCCTCTTTTTTTTTCCTTTCCGTTATCTCCTCTTTTCCTTTTTGCTTTCCCTTTCCTTCTTCTCTCTTTTTGTTTTGCTGGGAGGGGGAAGTGGAAGCAACATCATGGGAGGCAAGGCCCATTTCGGCCCCCCTCCCCCTGATCTCTTTCTTCCCCTCCCCCTTTTTCTTTTCTTTTTCCTCTTCTTTCTTTTCCTTTCTCTCCTCTTTCCCTTTCACATCTTTTTCTTCTCTCTCTCTCTCTCTCTCTCTCTCTCTCTCTTTCTCTCTTTATTTTCTTCTCTTTAGAGACTTTTACACCATTATTAAGAGACATAATGCGCAATCAAATCAAACTGAGTGATGTTATCGAACAACTTCTCAATATCAATCTTCCATTCTCTTAAATGATCCTGGGAAGCCTCGGTCTTTATAGACACACAAAATGTATAACCAAATTTGGAGCATAGTTTAATGGTGTTGGCACAAAGTTTAGTGGCGATGGTTCGTTTGAGACTTGTACAGCGTTTATACTGTTTTATTATTGAGAAAGATCTCGAATCAAATCAAACTGAGTGATGTTATGGAACAACTTTACAATATCAATCATCCGTTCTCCTACACAATCCAGCCCCGGGTCTTTATAGGGCATACAAAATGTATTACTAAATTTGGAGCATGGTTTAACGGTGTTGGCACCAAGATTAGTGGCGATGGTTCGTTCGAGACTCATAGAGCCTTTATACTGTTTTATTAATGAAATATATCTCGAATCAAATCAAACTGAGTGATGTTATGAAACAACTTAACAATATCAATCTTCTGTTCTCCTAAATAATCCAAACCCGGGTCTTTATAGGGCACACAAAATGTTATACTAAATTTGGAGCATGGTTTAACGGTGTTGGCACCAAGATTAGTGGCGATGGTTCGTTCGAGACTCATAGAGCCTTTATACTGTTTTATTAATGAAATATATCTCGAACCAAATCAAACTGAATGATGTTATGAAACAACAATATCAATCTTCCGTTCTCCTAAAGAATCCAACCCTGCATGGGTCTTTAGCATAAAGGGCACAAAAAAGGTAGTACTAAATTTGGAGCATAGATTAACGGTGTTGGCACCAAGATTAGTGGCGATCGTTCGTGTGAGACTCATAGAGCCTTTATACTGTTATATTAATGAGATATATCTCGAATCAAATCAAGCTGAATGATGTTATGAAACAACAATATCAATCTTCCATTCTCCTAAAGAATCCAACCCTGCATGGGTCTTTAGCATATAGGGCACAAAAAAGGTAGTACTAAATTTGGAGCATAGATTAACGGTGTTGGCACCAAGATTAGTGGCGATCGTTCGTGTGAGACTCATGGAGCCTTTATACTGTTTTATTAATGAGATATATCTCGAATCAAATCAAACTGAATGATGTTATTAAACAACAATATCAATCTTCCATTCTCCTAATGAATCCAACCCTGCATGGGTCTTTAGCATATAGGGCACAAAAAAGGTAGTACTAAATTTGGAGCATAGTTTAACGGTGTTGGCACCAAGATTAGTGGCGATCGTTCTTGGAGACTCATAGAGCCTTTATACTGTTTTATTAATGAAATATATCTCGAATCAAATCAAACTGAGAGATGTTATGAAACAACTTAACAATATCAATCTTCTGTTCTCCTAAATAATCCAACCCCGGGTCATCATAGGGCACACAAAATGTATTACTAAATTTGGAGCATAGATTAACGGTGTTGGCACCAAGATTAGTGGCGATGGTTCGTCCGAGACTCATACAGCCTTTATACTGTTTTATTAATGAGATATATCTCGAATCAAATCAAACTGAGAGATGTTATGAAACAACTTAACAATATCAATCTTCTGTTCTCCTAAATAATCCAACCCCGGGTCATTATAGGGCACACAAAATGTATTACTAAATTTGGAGCATAGATTAACGGTGTTGGCACCAAGATTAGTGGCGATGGTTCGCCCGAGACTCATACAGCCTTTATACTGTTTTATTAATGAGATATATCTCGAATCAAATCAAACTGAGTGATTTTATTGAACAACTAAACAGTAGGCCTACTAAATGTCCATTTTCCTATAAACTGTCATTACAAAACTAGCTAGATTAGGGATTGTATAGCCGCTCCGAGGAACGTTTGCTATTTCAATTCCCTGCTTGTACTTGGCTTCACGGAGTAATTCGTCCTTTATAATGATTCTCTTCATTCCGGAGCAATGTATGTACTAATGCTTGCGAACGTACTCTTGTACTAGTACAGTACATGTACCTGTGTATAAGACAGATCCATAGACAGAGTACGCACGCCGCACGTCTGTGACGTAGGGAATAATGAATATTCATATCGCCGTTAATCTTGGTGCCAATATATGCTACCCAATAAGAGGCTAACGAACGAAAGAGACGGAAAATTCGGTCTAGTCTTAGACTAGTCTAAGCACAAAACTATTTTTTCTTTTGTATTTTTAGCACGAGACATTTCACAATTATTAGCACAAAACTGTTATTTTTCTTTTGTATTTTTAGAACGAGACATCACTTGTTGATTAAAAAAGCACAAAACTATTTTTTTGTTGTTGTATTTTTAGAACGAGACATCACTTGTTGATTAAAATATCTAATATGGTCGTTGACAGCAGACTACGCAGTGTAAGAGAAGGCCAGGGCACAAGGTACATACAAATACGTGTGTGGGACTATGAACGGGCTGGACTGTTTTTGTTACTGAAATGTGCTCAGAATTCAAGTAATTCATCTATTAAATGACTATAACAGACAAGAAACAAGTCAAAGGTAAGGACAAGAATCGGTGCTTATCAATATAACAGAAATTTTGGATGAAATACCATCAGGAAAGCCATCTAGAGTCTAAATTTAATTGTCACAAATTAGCGACAAACACACCAAATTCAGCGCTGCAATGACGCACAAAAACGGAGTAGAATTCAACTTTTCATCCACCAAATGAATTCAAACACTTGCATTATACAATCTTTAATACCTCTATCACCGTTATCGCAAACAACAAAACCACAATCTATATCTAGATCTACGGCTGATATATGAAGACTAATAATAATATGGTAGGGTATTCTGCAATTATTAGCAATAGCATGATTAGACTCTAGGTCTAAGGCAAGCCAATAAATTTGTGTAGAAAGAATAGGTCTAGACTCTAGGCCCTATGAGAAATCATAGATCGAATATCACATTTTGTAATATGTTCTAAAATGTCCGCGAACTTTGGTCACCCCTTCATACATGTAGCTGGTCAACGCTGTACTTCTAGGTATTCCCTTGTTTTCATTACAGATTGCTATAAAGTATAATGCCTAGGTTTGGAGATAAAGAGAAAGGTGATGGGAATAAGGCTCTAAGAATCACCAAGACACCATGCAATTCAGCTGCAAATTCTCTTGATGTGAATTCCTCATTGGATCCGGATATTGTGTTTGTGAGTATACTGGATAATCCAACTGTTTTATTGATGTATTTGAAATATATACTGAGATAAATACAGACAAATCTAAAAAACAAAAAAATTCTAGGGAATTCTTTCTCTTCTTCAGAGAAAGAAATCATATTTAATAATGGTCAATGATGAAATCATCACAACACAGCCATGAAAGCCAACCGCACGTTGGGATTCCTCAGGAGAAACCTATGGTTTTGCCCAGGGAATGTGAAAGCCATCGCATACACGACCCTAGTGAGACCAGTGTTAGAATACGCAAGCTGTGCCTGGGACCCATACAGGATAGGGCAGATTAATAAACTGGACGCAGTTCAAAGGAGGGCGGCACGCTTCGTAACAGGAAACTACCAAAGGGACAGCAGTGTAACACAAATGCAGACCTGCCTTGAATGGGAATCACTTGAACGCAGGAGGGAAAAGAGTCGTTTGGTTATGATCTTTTCAAAATCTACAAGGGAAAGGTGGGCCTAAAGCAAGAGGACTACATACAAGTATCAACAGGGTCAAGGTTGAGAAGAAACCACCATCACTCGATAGAAATCCCCTTTGCCAGAAAGGATGTATACAAATACTCCTTTTTTCCAAGAACTGGACGAGCATGGAATACCCTCGACCAGAAGTCTGTAATAGCTACATCAGTTGATAATTTCAGAAACACACTCTAGCATGCATCACCTGCCATACAAGTTAGCGACATGCGGAATACCGCCCTGCTGACTCCAATTTCAGAAGGTTCAGAAGGAAATATGCATTCTTTCTACATATATTTTCTGCTCACTTGCATAATATCTGATGTGTTGCACACTTGGCTCAGTAGCTAGTAGGTCATCTCCTAAGTATTTTTATTTGATGGAAAGCATGGTATCACATCTGAAAAGAAAGAGAATGTGTATATAGGACTAATTCTGAGTGTTTGACAATGCAGCCAGTATGAGGGATATAGTCTAGCTTTTGGAATCATCAACATTATCAGATACAGTTGCTTTTTCATACTTTATTTATTTATTTATTTATTTTGTTTTATTTACCCAGGGTACATGTAACCCCATCAGTTAGTAAAACTTACCGTATCTTTAGATCCACACCATTCAATTTTGTTCAGATCATACAAAATGATACAATGCATATAATAGTAACAGTAACAAAGTAAAATTCTTCTCTTTAAGTACATGTACATGTACATAGATTTTCTCTGATTTAGTGATGGACGATCAAAACAAACCAAAATAATCTATTGTAATAAATCTGTAAAGCTTCTGTAACTAAAATAAAGTATGTTTTATACCCCAAAAAATTATTATTTCCTGCCATAAGTCCGGAATATGGGACCATAGACCTGGTATTGAAATAATGACTTGATGAAACCATTTGACTAAATTTGTATATCGTGCTGATGATCACAAACAGTGAAGGCACTCAACATTTTTGGTGGCAAAATTTAAGTCTAGACCCCTAAATTTCACAGTGTTATCATTGATGTTCATGCATTGTGAATTACATAAATAGTACATTCATTGACTACCATCAACAAAAAGTTGTTGTGAAGCCACCCACAAGCTTAAAGAATTAATTTTTCTTTCTTTTTGAATGTGAAATTACTACTATGATATCCCACCAAATATCTTATCACATGGCATACAAAATAATAATCTGAAAGTCTGCAAATGATATCTCCTTTTTACCATTTATACTCCACCTTCTCTGTTTTCAATGTCAGGTTGAGAAGGATGTCTTGACACCCCAGAAGGTCGCTGATCATCTATCTACCACCGTCCAGGGTGAGATGGGTGAATGCCCAGTAAGAGCCATGCCTGACAGTGTCATGCTACAGATACTGGGATACCTGTCTGTCAAGGATGTCTGTAGAGCCGCCTGGTAAGAAATCATGAAATACATTGGCAAATCCAAGGTATTCGGTCATTTCATGTCTGGCACCTATTTTCCATTATTTGTATATTTATGTGCCTCATTTTTTTCCCCATTAAAAGCTGTATTTATCTTTTTTAATGATGTAATAAAAAGAATCCCATTGGTTAAAATTGGAAATGTTTAATCATGTTAACAGGACATTGATGATGAACAGCAATGCTGATTCAATTGTTTATTTTTTATCCTTGATAAATATGTTAAATAAATAAATAAATAAATAAATAAATATTTCATGTCCCATATATATGACTTGGTAAAGTGAAAAATGAAGAAACCTTTTGGTAAAAAGTATAATTTTCCTTGATATTTGATGTGATTATAGTAATAGTAGGGCAATTAGCCTGATGTCAATATCCCAGATGTACCAAACTTTGTGATGAGTCTGTACCTTATGGGACAAAATACCTTGGAGTTTCCCTGTATACAATATGTGCTTGGTAGTAGACAAGCCTGGGCAAAGGGGCATACATGTATTCATGTCCACCATTAAGCGTTTAAAAAAAGGATGTTGTATTGCCCTTTGCGACTGACCCAATAACCTTGAAATCTACTGTCAGCTTTTTTATGCCTCCGCCACCGAAGGTGGTGCCGGAGGCATCATGTTTTCGGGTTGTCCGTCCGTACGTCCGTACGTCCGTCCGTACGTCCGTCCGTCCGTCCGTACGTCCGTCCGTCCGTCCCGTTTGACCGTTATCACAATATCTCAAGAACCATTTAAGATTTAAACTTAAGACTCGGGAATAGTATTTATCACCATAGGAAGACGATCTGATTAGATTTTGGAGTACGTAGGTCAAAGGTCACAGGTCACAGAGGTCAACTTATGAAATTCCTTGTATTGAGTTTGTTAGCGCGATATCTCAAGAACCATTTGAGATTTAAACTTAAAACTTAAGGATAGTATGTATCACCATAGGAAGACGATCTGATTAGATTTTGGAGCACGTATGTCAAAGGTCAAGGGTCACAGAGGTCAACTTATGAAATTCCATACATTGAGATTGTTATCATGATATCTCAAGAACCACTGGAGATTTAAACTTCAAACTTAGTGATAGTGTGTATCACTATAGGAAAACAATCTGATTACATTTTGGAGCACGTAGGTCAAAGGTCAAAGGTCACAGGGCTCATTATGTATGCAAAAACAGCTTGTGATCGCGTTATCTGAACAACCGATTGATGGATTCCTGCCAAACTTTGGTCATGTATGTATCTTGCAAAGCCAATGAACTGATTAGATTTTGGGGTCACGAGGTCAAAGGTCACAGCGCACATTATGTATGCAAAAACAGCTTGTGATCGCGTTATCTGAACAACCGATTGATGGATTCCTGCCAAACTTTGGTCATGTATGTTACTTGCAGAGCTGATGAACTGATTGGATTTTGGGGTCATGAGGTAAAGGTCAAGGTCATGCGGCTCATTATGTATGCAAAAATAGCTTGTGATCGTATTATCATTAGAACAGATTGATGGATTCCTGCCAAACTTAGATCATTTATGTATCTTGCAGAGCCAATGAATGGTTCATAAGATCAAAGGTCATGGGCTCATTATGTATGCAAAAATAGCTTGTGGACGCATTCTCATTAGAACTGACAGATGGATTACTATTTAACTCAGGAAATCTTGCAGAGCCAATGAACTGAGTAGATTTTAGGGTTATGAGGTCAAAGATCAAAGGGTCATATATGTTTATGAGAAATTGCTTGTAATCACGATATTCTGAGAACATGTTAATGGATTACAATTGAACTTGAATTTGAAAAATTTCTTCCGTTTCGGTTTGTAAAATTGCTCTATGACGGAGGCATTATTTTCGACTGCGCGCAGTCGAATTCCATCTAGTTTAATAATTTTTTTATTTACCTTTTTTAGCAGAAAAAAATGTTTAATGAATAAAAATAATAGCAAAAAGCAGAGAAATACCAGCCCAAAGAGGGAGAAAAAAATGAAGGATTTCCGACTGACCCATGTTTTGGCACCTAAGGGGCAATGCAACATCTTTTTTTAAAGGCCTAATGTAAGTTTCTCGAAAGTCAATAATTTGGATTTAAACAAAAAATATCCCTGAAACAATGCATGCCATTCCATACCTTATTAAATTGTTCAAAGCCCAAACTTATAATTTCTCTACCTGTATATAACATTAGTTCATTATGTCTGCTAGTAAGTAGTTCTTTCTACATGTATTGAAAGTTAACAGTCCAGTGACGTATCCACTAGACCACAACACCTCTACTGCAGGTAGTACTATCTATGGTGTTGACTGAGTTACCAATGAATTTGTTTGATTGTCTTTACACAGTGTCTGTAGAGGCTGGAATCATCTTGTGAGAGAGAAACCAATATGGAGAGTAGTAGATCTTTCACCATACAAGATTAATCTAGTCAACCTACGTAAGCTAGTCTTTGCTTACTTCAGTGACTCCCTACGTAAACTCAGTCTTGGGGGTTTCCTTTCATCTGTCAAGAATACAGAGTGTATCTCCGATTCCTTGCTGCAAGAGCTTGGAAACCGCTGCCCAAAGCTACAAGAACTGTGCATCACAAGAGCAGATTTGTCCAAGGCAAGCTCATCTAACCTGCCTTCAAAGTTGCTGACTTTGAAGTTGATATCATGCAACTATCCAACATTCTGGCTGACAGCAGCATTCAAACAGTCCAAACTTGATTCCCTGCGACATCTAGACATGACAGGCTCTAATGGTTTTGGCTTTCGTGACTTGGAATCCATCACACCAGCACCCATGACATCTGTTCTAGCCCTCAAGTTAAGGAGCTGCTATCGCATTTCCTCCCGGGGGGCATGTCGCATAGCAGATAACTTGCCCAACCTGCAGGAGCTAGACCTTAGCAAGGTGGCACTGACCAATGAAGCTCTGCAGAAGATCGGAAGCAACCTGACACACTTGAAAATCCTCAACCTGCATCAGTGCACCAATAGTGAGAATGTCCTCTTTGATCTACACCATCTGTCTCCTCTGAAGCACCTGGAGGAACTTGATGTCACTACTGATCCAGATAACAGTCTAGGCTCTCATTCAACAACCTTTGATGGTAATGTTCTTGTAGGGTTGGTCAATACTCTAACTAAACTGAAGAGTCTGTTGGTGTCCAAGAATGAACACTTTACGGAAGATCTTGTACAGAGGGTGAAAAATGGTTGCGTTATGCCTCCAGGAGAAAGTGATGCTAAGTCTGTGTGGAAGATTGGTTTCTACCCACAGGACAAGTTGATCAAAGTAGCTCAACAACAAGCCCATTGACATTCCTTCTCTTTCTGAAGATGAATTCGACTAATTCATAACTATGTTTTGTAAAATGTGAGAAATTGATATACATGTATAACATTTGGTTCACAATCAAAATTATGCAGCTGTCATGTGTAATTATTGGCAAATATTTTGAAAAACAGTTTTACATTCTCTTTCTCTTCTTGTGTTCACAAGTGAATAAATAGTCCTGATATCATGAAGTTTATTTCATTTTACTTTATAAGTAAACAGTGTGATCACTGTGATGAGTCAATGTCACCACAAAACCTGGACAAAATTACCAGATATCTTTTTTTTCTTGTTTATAATCTATAATTTCTTTGTTTTTTGTTGAGATATATTATACAATAAAAGTGAATATTATAAGGAAATAACGTAACAACAGCTGTAGCAACTCTCATGGAAGTAAAGCACTATGATTTCAAGCATTATTCTCTCGTTTCCTTTAGCATCATATATGCCAATTTTCATAATAGTTCTGACGTAACGGTAATGTGATGTGGTAAGAATAGCTATCAAGGAGAAACTCAGACTTGAATTTTGGTAACATAAAGGTAGAGTTAATTCTGAAGCATTAGTGAAAATGTAAGTGCCTAGTCTTTCAAGCAGTGTAGCTTTATGTATGATCCAATACAAAATGTACAAGAAATTCCTTTTGAATGATTCAGGAGTGTAATAATATATGTACATCTATTATCTTGATTCCTAATATGGTCATCCATCAAATTCTCTTGCCCATCTATTTCCTTCAATTTTCTCTCTTGCTCAATCTCTCTCTCTCTCTCTCTCTCTCTCTCTCTCTTATTCTTGCACTTCCTTGCCCTTCTCTCATTCCATTTCTTTATTTAATTTTTCATTCCATTGTCGCCGTTGTACCGTCTAAGCTATCTTTTTTGTGCCAAACACCCAATATCGGGGTTGTACCGTATTCCCCCCCCCCCCTTCAATTTTTAGAGGGTAAAGTAACTTATAATTTTCTTGTTTCAAATGTAGGGATGAAATTTCCAAGATTTTAATCTTTCATTTGTCCCATTTTTAAACCAAGCTTTATTTGTATTTATTGTCATGATGTTTGTAATTTTTTATATTTTTGTATTTTTATGTTGTTTTAAAGAGTGAATAAATTGAATTGAATTCTCTTTTATTGGAACTAACTACCGGTATGTGAAAAAAAATATAGAAGACTTCTTTATTTGTCTATAATATGATCATTGATGAAGCTGAATTATGGTAATAATGAAATTGCTAAATATATGTAGACATTGACAGATACTGAGTTGTAGTGCTTATTCTGAAATATATATTTGAATTTGAATTCTATGCAGTATACACTGTATATATGGTTTTCTCTGACATGGTATTCTGTAAACAGTGTAATCTTTGAAGTTTTAGTATGAACAGGTTATTTGTTAACTTGTGACAAATACAATCCCTTCACACAAATAGCACTAGATAAAATGATTCTTAGAATACCATCTCTGATTTGTATGTACATTTAGATTTATATTTCAAAATCAAAATTTATATTCTATTATACAATTTATATTGCTAGCAAATTATGTTAAATTAAAAATATAATTGATTCTGACAAAGTTTTGAGACACTTGTCTGCTGTTCTGTTTATTGTATGTCACCTCCAGATCCCGATATGTAAGGCATGAGAAGTTGATTAGTTGCTAGACAATTCACAATACACAAGCATATGTGATCTATTGATCATCTCCCTGCTAAAAAAAAATATCTGCATTTGCTTTTTGTGGACAATATCAATCACATAAGGCTGATTGAATGATGACATCATTAACAATTATTTATTTGGGCCTGCATTATTGCCTAAGAGACATATTAATCAGAAATGATGTGCTCAACATGAGTGCATATAACGTAAACTTTTCTGCATGTGAGTGACTTTCAATACATGGACGTTAATGACATCATTGTACATTATACTACCAGTTTGAGAGAGAGAGAGAGAGAAAAAGAAAAAAAGGGGGGGGGGGTGGGAGGGAAAAGTGAGTGAGAGAGAGGTGAGGGAGGGAAGAGAGAAATGAGGGGGACAAAAGAGAGAGAGAGAGAGAGAGAGAGAGAGAGAGAAGAAGAGGAGGGGGTGGGGGAGAAGACGAAACATGAGCTAATTTAGAATTGGCGGGGGAGGTTATTTTCAAGCAGAACAATTTCAAGAATCCTCTGCCATCTTCCGGCTGTCTAGGGAGGGATGTGGTTTGCTGGCCTATTGATATAAACTCTTAATAATTCTTCTTTTGTATAATAAAAGTGCCACTTATTTCCCCTTCCCTAAATCTCCAAATATGGGGAGAGCAGAGAGGCTGTTGTTTCAGTATGGAGTGCAAAAATAAGAATAGTGAATACCGGTTCGCTTTACTGAAAGTCAGATTCCACAAAATATGTTAAACCCATCTTGAACAATTCTGGCAGTCTCCCTTAAACTATAATGCAGTGGGTAATACAATTTTTCCATTACGTAGAGTTAATAGGGCAGATCAAGGATTCTGTCTTTCAAAAGATTTTATTTTATTCTTTTTTCCCCCCTTCTTCTCATAATATATATGCATGTGAGTGTGTTTATTATTCTTATATTAGGCCTACCATCATTATCATCGTTATTATTCTCTTCTTTTCATCTTCTTTTTAAGTCCTTGTTTTAACTTGATAACCTATGGCAGAAGAATTTTAAAGGCCCAAACAGGCATTTTCATAGGGATTTATGCGGGGTCAATTTTTGATTTTTGGAGCATTCACCAATCTTTTCAAAGTGAAACTCCTCAAATTTTATGTTAGTCACATTTTCCTTAATTTCAAGGATATGCTAAGGGAAATTTAATTAATCAAGCTATTAGAATAGAAGTTTTCACGTGTTAACCTATTCATAGACGACTTTGTCAAAAGCATGCATATTTCCTGGGATTTATGGTGGCATTTATTGAAAATAAATTTAACCGATTTTTTTTCTTCACAACTCTTTGATTTTTGCTCTCTTGCAAAAATCGGACTTTGATGAGATGGAATAAAGTATGGTATCTAGAAGCCAATGGTGGACGTAAACTGTCGAGCCTCTTATTAATTTCAAAGTTTCATTTTCCCCATCTCTCTTAATCCTAACTCTTTTTTTCCTTTAATTTTGTTTCCTTCAAAATATTGAAATATACAGCCATAACTTATACCTCTTTTCGATTTATACAATACTTTTATTTCATGCTATGGAGAACAAGAAAATCGATTTTCAATCGAGTTATCAGCAATACCAGACTTAGATCTCTTAATTTAAATAACATAAAAATATAATTTCCTCCAATTATTGTAAAAGGGGAAAAAAGTACATTTACTACTAATAGCTTGGCCGAACTTTACCTGGCCGAATTCGCAACCGGACGAGATCGACGGGATCTACATGTACAAGACCTAACGTACGTCATCGTCACCCGCGAAATTCAACGGTATCAATATTATGGAATCTACCAGTAAATGTTGGATTTACTGTCTTCAAGTGTCCCCGCTTTGATGTGACTTCATTCGATCGTTTTCTATAGAGTATAGCCTAGGTAAGTTTTTTAGCGTTGTGAAGACAAGATGAAGACAACTTGCTTTTCCATGGCATGTCATGCATTATTTGGCATAACAAAAATAGTTGGCTGCAACCGCATTTGGCCGCCGGGCTGAACCCCCGGGGCCCGGGGCTGACCCTGGTGCTACCTAGCTACCTCGCGCGGCCGCGGCGCCCAAATTGCAAAATTGACACAGCAAGGTCAAGAACAATTATTAGGGTCTAGAGTCTAAGGGCGCGTTCATGCTTGATTTTGAAGGCAGAATGAGCGATTTGTAACGCTCATCGTAAACGCTCATCGTAATCGCAGTTCCACGGTGCACTGTTCATGCTCACTTCTCCAGGCAATTCTCCTTGGGTGGCCTTCAGCTGGATTCGCAAACCTGTGTGCGTATGCTACGTAGACCCACTAGAGGTCAGTGTGTTGACCCCATTTAAACGTGTTTACAAATTGTAAACGCATCTTTTTGCGAGTTTACGTTTTTAGGTGATTCTACAAAAGTGAGCATGAACGCAATCGTGTTTTAAACTAAACGCGTAACAGATGCCTGATTCTGGCCGTCAAAATCAAGCATGAACGCGCCCTAACTCTAATTATCATGATAATGACCAATTGACCATAATGATGATTATGAGGTTGGTGTAGACTATATGATGGTGATGATTGCATCATTGAATGATGATGATGTTGACTTGATGCTGCTGATGTGTGATAAGTGATGGCTGATGCAGATTCAGATCAGGCCGTCATGCATGATTGATGAATTACTAACATGTTTCTTAATGTTGATGTGACGTGACCATGCCATGCAAAGTTTGTGGAGATTTAGAAAATATTAAAGAATGCGATATTCGATCTATGATTATGATTTCTCATATTCTACACAAATTCATTTATTGTCGGCAAAGTACAGGACACTGTCTACAAATTGGTTCAACTATTGAACTAGAAAATTTATTGTCGAAGGATTCCGGAGCTACATGTATCGCGATCTAAAAATTCAATGTCCGATCGGCGTGTGCCCTGCAACTAAAAAAGTCATAAAAACAACGGAACCTTACTTCGCGCCCGGGGGTTTACAGCTGATTTATCAAAAATAAGGTAACATCATAATTTGCAAGGCAAAATATCAAACAATCAGTTGGTACCACTTTTTACTAACAATTTTGAGGAAATCTGCTCTCAAAATGAAGATTTCCAGACCCCCGGCCCCCCCACTCAGAGGTCGGAATGACCGCATGCGTGTTGCCAAAATGTCCGGTAAAGGGGTACTTTTCGTGCAACAAAGTCCGGCCCGAGAATTGTAAAAAAAGGGGTGTATTTGACTTTTCACCCGGAGATTTCTTTAAAAAGGGGGTGTTTTTCTTTTTTTCTCTCATCTCTTTGGACTCCTGAGAAATTATTCCGAATTTAGGGGGGTACATTGAGCATTTTTCCTGATTTAGGGGGGTCTCCAAGGCAGGAAAAGCACGCGAAAAGCCCGCGAAAGGGGGGTTCGGAAATGTTGGCAGTCCTCAGATAGGGGGTGCTTTCAAAAAAAGGGTACGAGCATATGCGTACCCTAAATAACATTGAGTGGGGGGGCTGGGTCCAGACCCTTATCAGTAATTTGATAATTTTTTGTAATGGACGCAAATAACTGAAAAATTTGCCAATCTTTTTTCAATAATTTCACACCCAATTCCAAAGAAAAATTTCGTCTCTGGGTAACTGAATGTTCCTCTTTCCATTGGTGATATCAAATTTTTGAAATTTTACTGATTTTTTGAGATAGCAAATTTAGGTCACGCATGAACTACTGTATGGTTACACCACCATACTTGTAGGTCTAGAGCAGTAGAGTTTAAACTAGAGCCTAGAGTAGAGGCTAGACTAGTTAGTCTTCTACTAAGTTCTAGTACTACTAGTGGTAGTAGTAGTAAGATGTTCGACCGAAAATGTCTGTCTCTTTCGTTCCTTAGTCGACCCTTCCCAAATAAAAGGCTAAGGAACGAAAGAGACAGAAATTTTCTTTCGACTAATAATACATGTAGATGTACATGTACGGTATTGTGAAATTGTAGGCTATGCTATGTCAGCATGCATGGTCAGTCTCATTGTCAGTGTCCAGCCTCCATTCCAGTGATCATGTCATGGGAATGGACATGGTGATCGATTGATGGACAGAAATTCCACTATAGATCTAGGTACTTCTTTAAAAGTTTGATGGCTTGATTTATGAATTATATACTGTAAGTATAGATCTGATTGTTATATACACTGTACTATAAAAATAAAATTGAAAATCAATGCAGTTCTCACAAAAACAAGTATAGGAACTTGGTTTTAGCTAATCTATCAGATTTTGTGAAGATACTGTGCGGGCGCATTGTGATTGGGATGGGATGAAACCTACTTCCATTTTCATTGATGATTGTGTTCAGCAGTGAATCAGTCTGCAAGAAAACTGTGAAGGAGGTAGACTTAACCCAAAGAAGAAAGAAGAAGAGTGGTATTCTATTTGTTTTGATTTTAATGCTTGTGTTCATCATTACAAACTTGTTCTTTATTACAGGATGAAATGAATCATGGCTAGACTCCAGGGATCACATCATCTTCAAAGTCAATATTCTTCCTATTTTCCACCTGCTCCATCTAAACACCAACCAACCAGTGACAACATGCAGAAACCTGCAATCAAACACAATGTCTTCAAATTCCCTTTGACCAAGAATATTCTCTGGTGAGTTACTTCTTCTGCACAGTGGATATGAGTGCTAATATTTGTCTGAGATCAATATTATATTGTATATTTTGTATATTTCATTCTATTTTGTAAGGTCCTTGATTCCTTGTCAATTTTCAGAATAGCACTGTGACAATGTGAAGATCTTGACATATACACCTGTATGTACAATGTACATGTACATACATGTAGCTTGCATGCAGTCAGCTGTATGTAATCAATTGTAAATATTTGCCTTTTTATCTCACACAGGGACCAGACCCCAATAGGACCCTCAATTCATCTTCATCCAATGCATACAAGGTAATGTTACAGAGAATTCATGTCTTATATCATTTTTTTGTAAATGCCCCTTATTTTTGTTTCTCTCTCTCTCTCTCTCTCTCTCTCCCCCCTCCCCGTTGATACATATCTATCTCTTTATCTGTTTCTGTATCTACATTTACTGTCTCTGTTACATTTGACGCTTGAAGTTTGCCAGCAATCATCGTATTTATTTATTTGTTTACTCAAAAGTCTCACACATATATATTCATGATGACAAGATCACTTGCAAATTTGCAATGCATTGTTTTACATCTTAGTTCTGTTGTTCATTTATTTTTTTTATTTTTTTTTTCATCTTCATATAAAAACAATAGATCATTACAACAATATACATAATATAAAAATTTACATGCAATCATACAAGTTAACAGTATCAAAAGACACCAAAATTTACTAGACGAAAATGAGAAAAGGGGAACTAAAATAAGGCCAAAGGGCCTTGTAAAATAAGTTCCCTCAAAGTATAAATTATCATTTGGTTTTTCAACTTATTCTGTTACTGAAAGACATGTAAACAAATTAAAAACAAACAGTGAATTAAAGAAAAAAAAAAAAAATAAATAAAAAAAAAAAAACCCCCCAAAACCCCAGAGGAACAGCAAAGTCTAAAATATGGTTATGTTTTATGTCAGTATTTGGACAGATGATAAATTTTAAGATATTTTTTTAATAATCTTTGGTTATTGCAAAGGGGAATATATTTGGGTAATGAATTCCAAATCACCGGGAGATTACACCGAGGAGATTTTTCTTCATACATAAACATAATTTTCCAACAATGAAAATTGGTTTGATTTCTTGTGTTATAATTATGAATACTGAGATTCGTAGGGAACATGTTCGAAATAGTATTTAGAAGAAGATTATGAAAATAAAGGAACCCTAGCACTGATGTATGATACTGGTATAAATCAAATATATTCAAGGTTTTGAGCTTGATAAAAAGAGGAGCGGAATGAGCAAGATAATGGCTACTGGTACAAGTACGCAGTGCTTTTTTCTGTAATTTAAATAAGATGTTCATTTTTAGTTTGCCACAGTTATTGCTGCATTGGAATATGCCTACAATATCATTGCATTTATCATTATTGTAGGAATATATCCATGCGTGTATCAGAAGCTGCCGTAAGGCTAGCTCACAGACATGCCCTTCAAGCTGATGTACAACCATACAATGGATTCCTGATTGGAGCAGTGATGGTGGATCCAGGTAATAATAACTGAGATCATGATAATAATGAACTGAATACCTAGGAGGAAAGTGAATTTGTTACCGTCTGAAGACAAGGAATTCAACAGTGGATTAAGACAGTCAAAGACTGATTTCTACATGTACACACACCCCGTTATCCACCCAACTGAATGCATTTGTTGATGATGACATGAGTCATGATGTTGATTGTTTAATATTGATGATGACGATGATGATGATGATGATGATGACGACGACGACGATGACAACGGCAGCGATGATGATAATAATGAAGATGGTGATGATGATGATAACAATGATGATAATGATGATGATGACAATGATGATGATAATGATTACAACGATGCTGATGATGATGACGATGATGGTGATGATGATGGTGATGATGATGATGATGATGGTGATGATGACGATGATGATGGTGGTGGTGATGATGATGATGATGATTATGATGGTGATGATGATGATGATGTTGATGGATGATGTTGATGATGATGATGATTGTGAAGCTGCTGATTTTCAATGATCATAGTTTTATTTTATGATGTTGAATTTACCTTTTAGGATAGATTCAGCTCTCCCTCTGTAATGCGTCTCTTTTCTCCTTGTTCATAGATGAAGAAGGCTTGACTGTGTCTTTAGATCGCTTTGATCCTGGTCGTGATGTTCCTGGTCGTAAGGCTCGTCTCCCTACTGCAAGGCTACCAGCAGATTTCATTGTTCCTCTTACAACCTTCCTAGGAGATGCAGACATCTCAGCTACACACACTGCAGATGATTTCATTGCTGCATTCAAGGTATGGGCCCAGTCATGCTGGCCAGGGGCCTGTTTCACAAAACTTGTCATCAGTGACAAATGACAGTCTTTGTTATAAGCTACTGAAATCCTTGCTTCTGATTGGTTATCAGCAGATTTGTCTATGATTTTTGTAATTTGTTATTGAAAAAAGGCTTTGTGAAACGGGCCCCAGGTATACTATAGGCTACTTTAACCCACCGGCTATAATTCTTTACTTCTCATGGGCTTGATGTACAGGAACTATCCTGTTCCTGTAGTCAATCGGTTAATGTACTCTGGAGTTAATCCCTATAGGGCTACTTGGTATTATACAGACATGACAATTTTGGACTTCATGAAAATATGGAAACTCCAGGCCCTTCAAACGAATTAGTATTGTTGCAATATAGGAAAGTTTGAAGCTGATACAGTAAATACATTGACATACATAATAATGATAAGGAGAATAATTTGCTATATAGAGCCTTTTCCAGAGGACACAAGGTGCTATCAGTTCATTTAATCATTGAACATATTTAGATTTTTTTTTTTCGGGGGGGAGGGAGGTTGGGGGGAAGAAAAAGTCAAGGGAATTACTATTCTGAGAAATGCAGTTTTTTTGTTGATGGGCATGGGGCAATATGTATCCTTTTCTGAGCTAGAACCATCTCTTTTTTCTACAGATTCTTGAAAGCAGCCTCAGCACACATGGATCGATTGACCCTGCCAGATGCTTGACCCTTCGTGTCATGTGTCGTTGCCATAGCAATGCAGATGACATCACCCTTTGTCTTCATTTTGGAGCTGTGACCGTGGCAACTGTTTTCACTGGGTTTCATGTGAAACCTATTCCCATCATCCCAACTGCTTTAGCCAGAAATTTGATGGGTCCATTGTCTTTGAGTGATGTTCAAGGCTCCTATAAAACAGGGTAAGGCATTCCTATTCTTTTATGATTATCATTATTATCATAATTATTATTATTATTAAGTATTTGGTGCAGGTTCACCTGTGCCTCGGAGATGAAAATCCAACTTACTGAATCAATGTAACCGTCGGGTCTCTCCTCCTGGTTTAACTAGTTGGAGTGTGCAGATGGACCACTACACCAGGGTTTCCCCTTATTCTTATACGTGCAGTGGGTTCTTAAAGTACACAGATGACGACTCTCCTCTACACAGGACCTCCATTTAATGTCTTATCCGAGGGACATAGTGCTTTCCACTGTAGCATAGCCTGTGGCCATGTAATGGGAGGGCACGTTAACACACGACGCTTTCAGCTATCCGTCTGGGTTGGATTCGAACATTCTTTCTTTCGACAGGCAGAAGCTTTACCGACTGAGCCAATTCGCCTCCCTCTTATCAATGATAATAATAATAATAATAATAATATTAAATTTTTATATAGCGCTTAATACAAATGTCTCTAAGCGCTTTACAAATATACTATTACCCCGGTCATTGGATTCAGTGCTTGTATGTATGGTGATCTCAGATTTAAATATGTTCATGACTTTCTTGTTATTTGGTTTTGTTCAAATATAGTCTAGACGATTCTAGAGCAAGCTGTTCTCAAGTTTTATATCTTTTTTTCTTTTGGCACAGTCATGAAATAAGTTGTATGATTTTTTTTCAATTTGGTTTGAAATTTTTCAAGTGATACATACTTTCAAATTGAGAAACTGATACATAGTAGATAGCTAAGTAGTTAATATCAGTGGTCTGAGGATGGTATTCTGAAAATCTTTTATGCTAGGGAAAGTATGTTAATTGTCGTAACATATCTAAATTGAAACAACGTCCACCCAAATCTGGCTGCATACGCTTACAAGGAAGAGAAATATGTGCAATTTCATTTTGTTATGATAATTACAATTGTAACAGGTCAGAATTGAACTGTTTTATAGTGAAACATATATATCTATTTCTAATAAATATCTCCTCAGGAGGAAAGTAAGAAGTTTATATGTTAACAAACTTTGTACTTCAAAGAAGTATGACTCACACATATTCTGAGTAGAAGCTATCAATTTGGCCAAAACATGACATTCCACAGCTATGAGAGAGTTAATGATGTACGGTCACTTGGTCAAAGGTTGGTAACTCGACCCCCCCCCTTCCAGAACACTTGTAATAACTTAGCCAAACAAACCCCTAATTGTAAACATCGGATAAGAACTTCCAAAACAAAAGACTTCCTGTCTCCCTCCCAATAACAAGACCCTTTCCCAGAACAGGTTACGTGTGGTAGCTATAGATCACTGTGAGAATGTAACTGTTATAAAAGAAGGCAGAGGTATTTGTGAGACTGACTCCTGTACTGCACCCCATCCATGGGGCAGGCAGGGAGGTCGACTCTGCAAGCTTTTGGTGTAACATGTCATTATATAGGTGTTGACGAATTACAATCAACATGTAAGAAGCGGGAACGAGAGGAAACGGTCCTCTAGGCCAGATTGCCAGGGCTTTAGCTTAGTTTAGCTTTAGCTTTGTTCACTTTGCACCTGAAATAAAAAGAACCGCAACACAACGAATGGTATGATGAGTATTTTCTACCAGTTCCGCGTGTGATATCGGCGTGTTACCACAATACTTTTCAAGAACATAAACTATTAGCTTTCAGAATACCCCTCCCCCCCCCCCCCCAGTTTGCCAAGATAAAAAAAGTTGTTGTAATGTGTCATTTTTTTCTACTTTGTTACTTTGTCAGATTTCTGAGCATGGATGAGACAAGAAAATTACTGCTTCTTCTTGAAAGTGATCCAAAGACCAGTACCATACCTCTTATTGGCATGTGAGTTAAAGGTGTTACATGAATGTGTGTGGCTGATAGAAGTGCACTAATTCGTCGCTGTTTTCACAAAGTGACGGTAGTGAAAAAAAATTGCATTCACTTTGCGTGACGATTTCCTCACTACCGTCACTTCGTGAAAACAAGGACAAATTGATTTTGGTCACATTATCAAACTTTAGATTAGTGATTTAAAAATGGAGAAATAATGTAGAGATGTTATAAACATTCAGTGATTAATTTAGACAGCGGACAAACTTAAATGTGTTGTAAAACTATAGGCAAAGAAAGGTAAAAGCGTTAAAATGCATATTTTAATGACGTTCATCCTCCGACCTTACATGTATTTTGCCTTGTTAACATCTTGGCTCTTTTTCATAAAACTTTTGATCAAGCAAGTCATATTACACAATATAAGCTACTGGAATCACCTCTTTTGGTACGGTGTAAGTTGAGTAGTCATAGGAAGGTGTAAATTGTTGTTAAAAATCTATTATTTCATCAAACAGGACCCTGTTTGAAATTACATCATGTTATTGTTCTTGTTTCTAAGAATGTTTTGATCTCTTTCAGATGGATGAGTGGTTTAACTCACATGTCTAACCCAGTTGTCTGGTCGGCTTGTTTACGGTTTCTCCATAGTAGTGGCATACAGGAGAGGTAAGTAGAACATTTCAAATGAGGAAACCAGTCTTGAAGTTTGATAGATAAATTGCTTTTGGAAATGTTCATGATGTAAGACTGCTTGAAATAGCTATTCAAATGCTGCAGAATCTGTGAAGAGTCAAGCATCCCTTGTGAATGATGTATGTTTTACAAATGACACATGTTTCAACATCTCTAAAGAGATTCCCCATAAAATCCATTGAGCACAAGCTAAATATTTCCCAAATCAAGCTTATTTTGTTGTCATGTCTAAAAAGAAAATTGTATTTATTAGTTCAGCTGTTTTGGTAAAAATAAGCAATATCAAATTTGCAGATATGAGAGTAAATTGTACAACTGAAAATAGAAGAAAGTTAGCAAGTGTTGTGTTACAAGATCATGAATGTGCAGGCCATAAAGTTAGAAGCATGAGCTTATATTTTTCTTGTAATGATAGTATTTTAGAATTGCATATGTCTAAAACTTCTTGCAAACATATTTTGTAATGACCCTACATCTTTATATATTTTATTAATTTTGTGTGTGCCAGGGTGTGTTCTCCAAATGGTAAATTCCTTGTGGTATTGTTCACACGTACATCTCGTCAGCCTCTCTTCTACGAGTGCATGGTGAAGTCTGAACAGGATCCCAGGTTCATGCTGGTCGGCTGTCGTGAAAACCTCCACGTATTCAAGGTAAGGACTGTCACCATCTTTAAAGATGGAAAGAGGGGGAGGGGGGGGGGGGGTATTATACCCCTGTTCCTCCCTCCTGGTTGCAAAATTGTCTGGCTCTGATGTCATTAAGGCCGCCAATTTATGATGGTCCAATGTTTTTTGCCATAATTTCACAAGCTTGAGGTTTTACCATGTGGGTATTGTTGAGAAGGACTGTCGGGTTTGAAAGGGAATATTAGCACACTTGTCTCATGGTAGTAATCCTACATGTACACTTTTTGTATACATGTAAATGCAGGATAATTAAGCTGACATCTGAAAGTCTACACTGGAAAGGTATGGGTGGTTAGTCATCATGTACAAAGTATTTGGCATGGGTATTTAGCTGTCCAGGGTGTGAAGTTGGTCTAAGTATTATTGTTGTAAATGGGTAGTTGACCATTTTTGTTTGTTTTTGTAGGTGTGTTTTTGTCCTTTGTGTGTAGTTGTCCTACAGATGTTATTGTACTAAAAGCATATAGTCATCTCACTCTTCTGCTAAAAATGTCAGCTCATTTAATGACGATTGTCTATGACTCCCTTTACAGCATGTGAGTGCCAAGGGGAAGCCGCGAGTGGAGATGGAGCTGACACCTGCTCGTAGCGGACCCAGCAAGTCTCTCTTCATGCAGTCTCTGTCTCAGCTAACATCATCTCAGAAGCACCAGAGGTCAAGCAGTAGGAGAAGGAGTAGTGCTACCGAAGAGTCGCAGTTGGTGCCCAGGCCAAGCCCTAAGCCTATGTTGGATAAGGTACACAGTCAGTGATCTTGTGTGATCCCTTCTCTATGACTGTGAAAGAAGCTTAAACTATAACAAAAATATGAAGCTAATTGCCCTGCTTGAATTTTTATCAACCATTAAAAATTATATATTGGGGATGTGAGTTTGTTATCATTTGATCCTATACCATTTCAAAGCAGTACAATCTCATGAAACCTGTAACTTAATTAATTTGGGTTAATTCATAAGACAAGTAACTGGATGACATCTTTTATGCACTGGTTGTGGTTTACTTATTTTTCTTCTTACTTACATTTGTTACATTTTCTTTTCTAAACTTCCAGAGCCCTTCAGTGTTGCCATCAGTTCCTGAGCTATCTTTCATATCAGACAGTTTTTGTGAACCAACGGACCGTAGGAGAAATGACCAAGTCACTGCTAACGTCCATCCCCAACACCAACCTGACCATGTCGTCCATAGACAGCGTCTCAGTGGTCAGAGTGAGGTCACTGGCATCAACAAAAAGATGTCTGTGAATCGTAGAAGACTTCACGGCACTTCAAAGACACCACCGCAAGGTCAACACTCTACAGGAATGAAAGGAAGTGAACTGATCAGTAAGCAGAACCGGCCTGGTCCACTCCGAGCTCTTAATGGCCAGGAATTGGAAACTGCAAGAAGAAAAGGGGGCCATAGTGGTGAGACACAGGATACAGTTAAAAAAACCAGTCAGCCAAAGGATAAAGCTGGTAAGATAATGACTACTCAGTCTTCAGGCTATGGCCGCCTTCATCAAAGACATACAAATAGACCTGGCCAGGGGAGACTTTGTGCACCTCACATTAGCCAACACAGATCAACAGCAAGCAGTGCCGGGAACAAATCAAGTGGTAGATTGCATCAGCAGCAAAGGCCACAGCCAATGCAGCAGCCAAAATCTTCTTCTCAGAAAATTGAAAGTGATTATCAGCCATCTCACGAGCAGCCACATCAACAGGAAAGTGAAATACACTCAGAGGGTATTGGCAGTGTCCTTCCACCCCACCAGCCAGGCACTCCCACAGGTCACTACCACTCAACCATCAACAGTCATCTGGGAAACACAGACGTACATGACCATTCCAACATACCCTCCCATAGCTCTAGCACTGTACAGCATAGCATCACACATGAAGGACAATGCTATGCAGAAACCTCTGATCATCATCAAGATGATGCAACAACCAGCGGTCCTTCTAATTCATTCCCAAAGACTGTTGCCAGCCATGGACACTCAAATCTTATGACCACCATGCCTCAAGGACATGTACCATCTCCATTGCATTACCAGACTCAGACAGCCGAAGGTGTGACTGTTCAAAATGCACAGAGGAATGTGGTCGGGAGACTAGGTGCTGCTATAATGGGAGACCAGTCAAGAGAACTGTCTGGTTTGGACACCAAGACACTGGAACAACTCAAAAGACAAGAAGAGATGATTCAACAGCTCCAGGAACAGGTAAATACATACTGCATACTGTTACTTTCAGTTACTGATCAATAATCACTTGCAAGAATGACTTGTAAATTGTAATGAATTGCAGTTATTACTAAAGGCATATGTGTAAGTCATTAAGAATGTTTTTAATTGCTGTAATTTCTTTTGAATCTGTTTCTTACAGATCAAGTTACTACTTCAAGCACACATACCCCAGCCCCCTGCGTCTGCATCTACACCCCTAGGTTTGATCACACCACCTGCTACTCCTCAAGGTGCTCAGAACCTAATCAATGAACCCAAGGAATCGCCTGATGTTCACAAGGTTCATCGTCTACCTGACACAGGTTCATTCCACTCTAATCCTGACACCATGCAGTCTCCTCCTGCAGTTGTATCCTCATCCAAAGAACATCATATAAGAGATACATCGACACCTGAAAATGTAGCTGCTTTGGGAGTGCATCAGCAAGCAACCACTGCACCATCCACCAGGCAATCGTTGCAGAGCCCTGTGATGTGTAGTATGGCTGTAAACACTGGTCAGAGCTTGTTCTGGTCCACACCTGTGGATGACGGGGTCTCTCATGTGCCTGGTTCACCTCCAATGCAATCTGAACCCAAGATTGCCAGACGTGCATCCACGACTTCACTTGGACCGGCAGCCATGCTAGCTCCAGACTCGAACTCTACTCCTGTAGGAACTCAACAGTCTTCTGATGTCCTGCACCAGACGAGGAAAGTGGTGGAGACTGCAGACAGTGTCAACATTGGCAGTTGTGCAGAATCTTCAAGGAAGTCATCACATTCTCCTCAATCGAGGTTAGTATCACCAGAGACAAAATCATTTATTGCAAGCAGAGGAAAATGTTTGTGCATAGAAATTGATATTGAAATATAAATTTCAATATCAATTTATGTGCCCAAATTAATGATAGCTCTTTTATTTATTATCAGGCTTCACACATGTGTGAGAATAATATAACTTGACTGTCTTTCATTCTATGTTACATTTATGTACTCTTATCAAATTCATAATACCTCATTGATATACTGTTTTATTATCATTAGTTACGAATGAGCATGTTGGTTCGTTTACATAGTAGCGTTTCATATTATGCATTCTGTTGTACAACTGCAGATCCTCCTACCCTGTAGGATTTTGTCATGTTGATTATCATTAAGCCGATGACTACCAATTTCTCTCATTCCCATCGGCTTGATACATAGACCACATAGCTCTCTTAGAGAATAGGTTTGATGATTTCTGTTAAGATATTTGTACTTCAAGTTAATGTATTTTCTTCTTTATATACTGAATAACAGTGAGCAACACACTCCACGTCAGAGCCCAGAGAGAAGTCCAGATGAATCAAGCCATACCTTTGGAGCTAACCTTAGCAGCCCCACCCTAGGGGAGAGTGCCAGTACATATGCCCCACACCACCCCCAAACATCAGATGTAGAGAGCAGTGATTCTGAGGAGGAAGGAGAGGAAGATGAGAATGAAAGGAGAGATGCAGAGGAAGAGAAGAGAGCCAACATGGCTCGTCCAAGTTTACTCTATCATGATGAGAAGAAATTCTATGATAACCTGTTGGTGAGTAAGACAGTCCACTTATTTTTATTGAGCTCTGTTGATTCAGGTGAAAGATTTTGAAGTATACCCAAGCATGTTTGATCTAAAATAGATAGTCTTTAAGAATATATGAACAAGTGCCACAGATGTTTTCCATTGCAACATGATGTTATATGTATCATCTGTTCAGAGCCAGAAGGGCATATTTTAGGTATTACTAAAAATTCAAATTTTCCTTATAAAATTGAAGATTCTTTCTCAATATACCAGGAGTCTCAGTATGCTCCACATAATATACATTAACAAACCTCTATATGCTACTCATTAAGGCATTGTATATCATATCGTATGCAATACCGGTTACCTTTACATTAGAGTACATTATTACTAACGTTAGTACATTAGATGCTATGACCTTATATCTAGGCAGACATTTGCTTTGTAGTAAGTTGAATAAGTAAATCAACATTATAACAAGTGGTATTTAGAGTGGAAAAGTGGGCCTTTGCTGTGGAATCTCTACGTTGAGATATTAAAAATAATAGATCAATTGAAGTGTTCTCTTCCTTCTTTTATGTTCTATCCTACTAAGGTTGTACTTTATGTAAGTGCTTTGATATAATCTCATCATTTTTACAAGTGCACCTTGAGCATTAGATTTCAAGTTGATTTAGCACCTTTCAAATCATTTACATGATGAATGCTTTTTATCTTCAATCAAATGTAGTTTTATTTATGGGAACCTATAATCTACAAGCTGAGCTTTTTCATATGTTCCTCACATTTCACTCTGTATAACCTTCTATTCAATACAATTAATTTTGACGTCTTTTCAAAGAATTAATTATATAATGTGACACTTTTAGTAAATTTCATATCATGTTCTAATTTTGTCAATTATGTGAATTTTTTTGTGAAATGTGAAACAAATAAACTTGAACTTTCTATCTTATCAGGGTCAAGTCCAGCAGTTGCTGCATACCGATGGCACTGAAAGACCTACTACACCAGATCCTGTCCCACTAGACTGTAGTAATGAACCTGACCTGCCTCGTGCTCTACCTGATATCTCAATGGCTACCTTAGAGGAATTAGAGAAACTTGGTATCAATCTACATAGCAGTGATATCACCTTCACTGACAGGTCGCTCTATAGGTAGGATTGGCAATACAAATTATTATATTTTGAGGTACTACTGTAAACCCCCAAAATTTTACCATTTGTAAGCTAGAGCAATTTCCATGGCCAGAAACTTCCTGATCCCACGAATTGCAAAAATGTTGTGTTGTATCAGTTGTGATTCAGTTTTTATGCCTCCGTTACGAAGTAGCCGGAGGCATTATGTTTTCGGGTTGTCCGTCCGTCCGTACGTACGTACGTCCGTACGTCCCGTTCTCGTGATCGCGTTATCTGAAGAACCGATGTATGGATTCCTGCCAAACTTTGGTCATGTATGTATCTTGCAGAGCCGATTAACTGATTGGATTTTGGGGTCACGAGGTCAAAGGTCAAAGGTCACAGGGCTCATTATGTATGCAAAAACAGCTCGTGATCGCGTTATCTGAAGAACCGATTAATGGATTCCTGCCAAACTTAGGTCATGTATGTATCTTGCAGAGACGATGAACTGATTAGATTTTGGGGTCACGAGGTCAAAGGTCAAAGGTCACAGGGCTCATTATGTATGCTGAAACAGCTCGTGATCGCGTTATCTCAAGAACCGATTGATGGATTCCTGCCAAACTTAGGTCATGTATGTTACTTGCAGAGCCGATGAACTGATTAAATTTTGGGGTCATGAGGTCAAGGTCAAAGGTCATGCGGCTCATTATGCATGCAAAAATAGCTTGTGATCGCATTATCATTAGAACAGATTGATGGATTCCTCCCAAACTTAGATTATGTATGTATCTTGCAGAGCCAATGAACTGAGTAGATTCTTGGGTCATGAGGTCAAAGGTCAAAGGTCATGGGCTCATTATGTATTCAAAAATAGCTTGTGAACGCATTCTCATTAGAACTGACAGATGGATTACTATTTAACTCGGGACATCTTGCAGAGCCAATGAACTGAGTAGATGTTAGGGTCATGTGGTCAAAGATCAAAGGGTCATATATGTATATGAGAAATTGCTTGTAATCACGATATTCTGAGAACTTGTTAATGGATTACAATTGAACTTGAATTTGAACAATTTCTTCTGTTTTGGTTTGTAAAATTGCTCTATGACGGAGGCATCATTTCGACTGCGCGCAGTCGAAGTTCCATCTAGTTTCATGGTATAAAACTTTTGTGTATTTTAACCTTTTACAGAGCTTATGAACATTTCATGCATTTGAAAGTTTCTGGATTTTAGTATTTGAGGCAAGCAATAATCTAAATTCTAAATAACAAGCTAGATGCTGACCAAGTACAGGTAAATGTCTAAAGAATTTTCCATATCTGTCACTAGTTTTAAAAAAGTGCTCTTTTAGGATTTAGGCAATTCAATTGATAGTATTTATACTTTATGAATTGCTTTTTAAATTAAAGAAAATTTAGATTAGAGCCATGCCATAATGGTTCAATAATTTGAAGTGTCCAAAGCAAATTATGTAAACTTTTGTATAACTGACATTTCTGAAATGTTTGAAATCTCAAAATATTATTTTCTGTATACTTGGGTAAGGTTTTGGGTAGGCCGTGCCTCAGTAATTTCAACCTCGTAGGCCATACTTGCTTATCAGTATATGTTCTCTTTGGCTGTCTAACTATCACTGATGAGTTAGAAAAAAAGTTCTGTTATATATTGTATTATAATCAGATTGTAATATTATGTTTCCTGGTAAATGTGAATTCTAAAATCATATTATGACTATCAGACTGTCAAATCAATATCTTCATCCCTTTTTTTGTTATATGTGAGTGGCGTTTTTATGGTGATGTGGGCCGGGTGGGGTGGGAGGGATGTAGCTCAACCGAATTGATTTTCAGACAGACTGTAAAATGGACTGACATTATATCTGAATATTGTGATCCTTTTTTTTTCCAGATCATTGTACAACGTGAGTCCTGATCTTCACCCTCACATCAACTATGTGTCCCTGGCAGACTTCACCTTTGACCCCTCTGATCTTAGCATGGAAGCCAACGCCATCGCCATGAAGTACCTTAGCGACGGCGAGCTTGCTAAGCTGTCTGCTGGTTTCCAAGGAGACAAGACACCAGGAAGACGAGGAGGAGGAGGGGGTGGAGTAAACCCTCTCCTGAGATCAGTGCTGACTGGTATCAGGGAAGAGGGTGGTGCTAGCGGCAGAGGGGGTGATGTGGATTCCAGCATTGGTGTCAACATGTCACTGGCGAGTCGGAAATACATGGAGAAATATGGGCTGATGAGTGGAGGAGATGGGGGTGCGGTGTTAAGTGCCGACTCTGCATCCCCAAGGGGGGTTGGAAACCTACTGAAACCATCACCGGTACGCTTCATGAAGTCTCCTGCTATTGCTAGAACTAACATACCCAGAGAGGGAAGGACCGAAGACAAGCCTCGTATGCAAGCCAAACCTACCAGACTATGTTATAGCCCTGCAGCAAGAGAGATCACTTCTCATCAATCTGAAGGTACTGATGCTCGTAGACCTGGAGAGGCCGACCTGACTTCAGACCCTCAGACCCCTTCAGATCCTCAGGCCCCAAATGTTTTAGGGCACTTGAAAGCTCAGAAGTGTGACAGGGACCCTGGTGTTATCATGGCAGAGGATAGCAGTGCCAAGGGGAATATACTGGACATTAGCAAATTGAAGCAACTTCCTAAACTGCTTTAGCTTCCTTTTTGTTACAATTGATACTCCATCCGGTCTTAAAGTGGCCCTTCTGCCTGGATGTTCATGATGGGAAAACACTATGGGTGGTTTTCTCGAAAGCAGACTAACTTTAGTCCATGGTTTAATCCTCTGACTAAGTATGGAATGCCAAGTGTCCATATGAATATATTTTTAATCATTTGATATGTCCCTAAATTACCATGATAACATAATTATATCATAGTTATATTGTTGTTTATTTATTATGTTATTACATTTAATTTTAATTTAGTAACATATTAAATTATTCAAAAACATATTCCTATGGACATTTGGCATTCCATACCTAGTCGGTGGATTAAACCATGGACTAAAGTTAGTCCGCTTTTGAGAATACCACCCTATGTATGTGTAAACTGACATTTCTAGTTTTCATAATTGTAAGACAATGCTACATATGTATGTACATAAGTGTATGTGGTGTTGCTTGTATGTGTACAATGAAGTAAATGTACAGAGATGGCAGTAAATAATGTGCTTTATATACCGCATGGCTAGATTCTAGGCCTCAAATTTGCGGGCATGAGATTCACTATGAACTGCTGGGCGGTATAGTGAAAAATATTGACCGGGCATAGAATTATGTCTTTGTAAGCACGCGCGTAGCTATGGCAATTAAGATACGCTTGGGCGCGGCCAGCACCATATCATATATATACACTGAACAGAATTTTGAAAGAGCAATCGATGAGAATTATGTTGCAGTGCCGTATTTCATCTGTCTTTGAAATTAATTTCTGAGCTCAAGAAGGATGCGGTATATAAAACAAATGTTGACTGCTTCTTTTTCGCGTCACGGTTAAAAACCATGGCCCTTGGTGATATCACAACTGCGCTATTGTGCAGTTGTGAGCTCACCTCGGGCCATAGTTTTCACCGTGCCCCTCAAAGCAGTCAATATTTGTATAATATATAAGAACAACATTATCAAAGTATTTATTTCACGAATCAACATGGGCACTAGTATCACATTCAACTTTATACCCCAAGATAGCAGATAGGGTAAAGACATTGAATTTGCCAAGGCAAGGCATAATGTTGTACCAATAGGATATATGGCTCTAATTAAATATGCTTGAAATAACATTAGAGAAAAGAGGTGAAGGCTGAGGTTGCTTTGAACAAAATAGAATAATGCTGTATTATTGTTATGAATATATATATTATGAAGTAGTGAGTGGGAGGAACATGTAGTGCATCAAAGGTTTATGACCAGTTGTAAAAAATATTCAAATTATAGTTATTTGTTGCATTTTCTCTATTTACTTGCAAATTACTGTATAATATATTTATACACTGTACTTCTTTTACTGAATATATGTGGTCTTTAATTACATTTCAACACTGACTTGAAGTTGAGTTTATTTTGTTACATACCATCTTCCGTTACTAATAGTGAATTATATCATTAGTAATGTGAACAATTCTAAATGTGACTTATACAGTATGTATTATACAGTATGTATGATACATGTTTTTGCACGTGATTTGTGTAAATAAAAGGTCCATATTTTGAATTCTATTATGAAATAGCATCTGTCCATCTTTGTTGTTCACTCAGCAATGTTATTGTGTAATTTTATACCACCTGGGGAGTGTTTCACAAAGACTAAGATTGACTTTAGAGTTGGACTTAATTATGGCAGGCCGTTCATGTCCAATTACATTGGCATTGATCTCTCAAGGGACATACAAATCACGGTCACATATCTACAGAACTGGCATTTTTTGAAAGTTCATGGAAAAAATATTATCTAAAGATCATCATCGAGAGACCAAAGGAGAGAGCAAGCAGTGGCATGATTGACCTGCCATAGTTAAATCCAACTTCAAGTCGATCTTAGTCTTTGTGAAACACTCCCACCAGCACTAGTTCTGGAATAGGTAGATTGGTCCTGTAGAAAGACATGGATGGTTAGTCTACCTCCTTCAGACTTGGTACAACACCATTTTATTGACAGTAGGAAAACCAACTTCACATAGAATAGACCAGTTGGTGATCAATTTCAAATTTACCTGTGAATATGTCGGTGCTTCACAGAATCAATCTGTTTGTTTATTATAATGGATCCTATAAGCCACTCTTTACATTTTCTACTTTTTAAAGAAGAATATTTTTCTCTTTAAAAAAAAAAATCAATTTCAGTCAAGCTGCATATTCTTTACTATTTATTGTGACCACACAAAAATATTAGTATAATTATGCAGCTCTATTTTCAAATGTACATTTTATTACATTGATATGAAGGGCTGAAGCTTAAATATTTACAGGTACAAAATGAGGTGGTATGAAACTATTCATCATTGATGATTTTAAAAGGAAACCTCTACACAATAAATCAAGGAATTTACATTTTCAGTTTGTAACACGGTACATTAAAGTTGACAATTGGTTTCACAATTGGTTGAAGAGTATACAAGGGTGAATGTTGTTAAAATTATAAAATCAAATACCTGGTATGGAGAACCCAACTTGAGAAAGGTAAAGTCTCGGTAATGTTTTCCATAGCTCTTTGGTAGGGCATAGGGATGTTATCATAAGGTGATATGACCTGCTACACAATAATGAAATGCGTAAGGGGAAGGGGGAACAAATTTGCGATAAAAGCATTGGGTGCAAGCATAATGATAGGGGCTAGTTCTTGATATGGGGGGGGGGGGGAGGAATTATTTATCATTATTTTCACAAAAGCCTGTTACATGCACATAAACATGTTTGTGCATAATTGAAAATAATTATGTAGTAATGTAGCAAGGCATGTAGATGAATTTAACTTGCATACATGTAGGGTCCATTTGTAAATCATAATGCATAATATGCAGAGTACTAAACATTGTAGTTTACACATTTTTAGAGACCTTCAATTTATTTCACAAACTTTCTCGTAGAAAAGCCCCCATGATATACACATATAATTCCTACAAAGCAGTAAACATGAATAGGTTACAAAATCATGCTTATTTTGTTTTTATTATAAAAGCTTGAGTGCTGCATTCAATCGGTCACAAGACTGGATTGATATCAGGGTCTTCCCTGCATCCTTTGCTCCTGTCGATGTTGATTTCGAGGAGTGTTTCGATCTCGGACGAACAGCTGATCGCGTTGTCGATTCATCTGCTCCTTCTTCCTGGTCACGTGATCGTGTTCACGTGCTAGCTGACCCTTGAAGTCTACTGAGAGGTTCCTATGTTTGGATGGGGGTGGGGCGAGGCGAGTGGTGGGATGAGGAGGGGTGAGGTTATGAGCCTGCAGCTCTCCCACGGTTAATGCCCCGTCTCCTGTAAGTGTAAAGGGTGTAATACATGGGAGATTTGATAAGAAGGGATGACAATTATGACAGCAACAACAACAACAAATCGAGAGTGTTTCTTGGAATCCTGTCCAAGGTTTCATGTTTTCAATTTGTTGGTGTACTGCCTCTACCTGAAATATGTTAGGGTGTACGGATATGGGGATCGAGAGAAAGAGAGGAAGAGAAGAGAAGAGAGAGAGAGAGAGAGAGAGAGAGAGGGAGAAAAGAAAGAGAGAGAGAGAGAGAGAGGGAGAGGGAGAGAGAGTGAGGCAAAGAGAGGCAAAGAGAAAAAAAGTGAGATATATAGGGAAAGGGAAAGAATAGAGAGAGAGATAGAGAAAGAGAGAGATAGATAGAGAGAGAAAAAGAGAGAGAGAGAGAGATAGGGAAAGAGAGAGATAGATAGAGAGAGAGAGAGAGAGAGAGAGAGAGAAGAAAAAGAGGACGGGGCAGACGGAAATGTATAGAGCGGGCCAGGGAGACAGAGAGAAAGAAAGAAAGAGTAATCGAGAGAAACCGATTAATATATTCAAAGGGGAGGGGGCATGAGGTAGAATAAGAGAAATAATAATATAGAGATATCACATTTAAATAGTAGCTATTATTTAATAACGATGGGTGCAAGTATCCCGTGCAAGTATCATGAAGTCCGTTGTATCTTCATTAAACGCCACATTACTTTAATAAAATAAGGATCACGTACAACACGATCACAATTATTTTCGAAAAAAAAAAATCGACTTAAGACAATTTTCAATAGCCTTGTCCACCACCTTTAAAAGTGCGCGAACATTACAGTAACGCATTACGTAATCTAAACATGATTTCTATAGCATATACCAGAGGGTATTGAAATTGTCCTTCAGTAAATTCTTCGAAAGTATTTGCGACCGTGTTGTACATAATATTGAGGCCTTTCTTTTCGTGTGATTATATAAATTTTGTTTAATCACTATTTCAGATGCCCTAGATGGCAAGCAGCGAGGGCAGAGTCAAATAAATAAAAGTATGTTGTGATGGGATAAATCATGATTTAGGTATAGCTGGGGCACGGGGGCGAATCCCCCAACCCTCGGCCCCATTGACTGAAAAATGGAGAACAAAACAAACAAAACAAAAAGAGAAGAGAAGAGAAGAGAAAAGGCGAAAAGAAGAGAAAGAAAATACTGGTGGATACAACTGTATACAAATGGAAAGTATTACCATCAGAATCATAGATAGCAAGGAGTATCATGAAGGCCCGTCTCCATTCTTCGCCCGTCACTCGGCCGTCATGATCATCGTCAATACGATCAAGATCACCAGTCATAGGAACGAAAGGCGGAATGATGCTGGTAGAACAGTGGAAAAACACAAATTAAGTTGTGAGCAAAATTATACGAGTTAATAATAATGTAGCCACCACCCAAAGACATATCCATTATCGGGGATTAAAACATCATTTAAATAAATGTGAGGGTTGGGGGGGGGGGGCTGGTGTTTGAAAACCTACAAAATCAAAGATCAGGGCTTAGTAGGGCATATCTGCATGCATAGGAGAGCTGGGGGGGGGGGGGGGCTAAGATTGATTTCCGGTCGTATGTCCCCGTCCATAAACCCCGATCGTATCACGACAATCCGGGGACAATTACCTCCTAGGTCAATTTCGCCCACCCTTGAAAGTGACCCCGAGCAAAATTAACCCCGACCCCCGCCCCCCGTTCATTAAAGGGGAAGTTCCCTCTGATAATAAGTTGGTTTGAATAAAGCAGAATTTTTCCCGCGGGTAGTTGTTCTGGGGGAGGGGGGGGGGTGGTTGTCCTCGAGGGTTAATTTCACGGGGGGGGGGGGGTAATTGTTCCGCTGGAATTTGCCGGGGATGATTGTCCAGGGGGTAATGGTCCTACAACATACCACAATATTCAGATATAATGTCAGTCCATTTTACAGTCTGTCTGAAAATCAATTCGGTTGAGCTACATCCCTCCCACCCCACCCGGCCCACATCACCATAAAAACGCCACTCACATATAACAAAAAAAGGGATGAAGATATTGATTTGAAAGACTACAAAAGTAGTAAAAATGTGATTAAAAAAGATAAGTGAAATTTCTGAGTGTGCTACAATGAGAGCTAGTGATTATTAAAGTATCATACCCAAATTAATGTCGAACATTCTGCACAATACCAGTGCTCGAAGACTCATGGTCACAAAGGTTCGCATGAACGATCCGTTCGTACGAATCTTCCTGTTTTTCCATGGTCTTCCCTAATTTCCATGGTCTGAAATTCGTTCGAATGGCGTTCGTAGCAGTTCGCGATGGCATTTGTGACCGAAGCTTTAAGCTATTTACTTCGCATACAATTTTTAACCGATATTTTGTTTCAGATTTGAATTGTAACCGTTTGATGGGTATAAAGACAATGATAATGAAGGGGAGAGGAAATGAAGGGGTAACATTTAATTGGTATTTTGACATAGATGTGGGTATTTTATGTCGCATCTGTTATCGGACTTATTTAAACGTCTTAAATTCAAGAAATAATTATGCTTATCTTACCTAAATTTATTTTAAAATTAACGAAAAGCATAGGTCTACAAAGTATTAAAACATATGTCTTATTCATCTTACCTAGGTCGCACAGGAAGCTCCTGTAAAATCAACGACAGAGAATATGAAATTAATCTTTGAAAATGAATCTAGTTATTTCATACGGACACACGTTGACCTAAATGGGTATGGAAAAGGGAAATGAACTTGCATAAACAAAAAACTTGAATGCAAGGCCCTATTGCTTTTGTTGTGAAGATTTGATATGTCAGATATGATAGATCAAATAAATGTTAGTGTCCATGCTAAAATCATACATTCAGTGACGCAGCGTCGGTCAAGGCATTGTTGGGGTCAGTGGCATCTTGAGAGGAGGAGGGGGAGGGGGGGGGGGGGGGCACCGACCTACTCACTGGATAAAAATAATGCGAATTTACAAGTACGCCGATTTTAAGGGTGATGAGGATGGAGCATGGGTCATCATCCTCCTTTTCCCTTTTCACCCTCATAATCGAGCTCCCCCCTCTCTCTCTCCCTCTCTCTTGTTCTCTCACTCTCCCTCTCTCTCTTCGACAATTGGCTGTCTTTCAAAAGCACAGAAGCGAGGATTAAAGTAGGGTAGTCACAAACAAAAGGAAAACATACTTTAGGCGTGACTTATTTTTAAATAACTGAACGATCCTCTAAATGTTTTTTCTTCTTTACTTTGCCCACCTCTGTTATATCCCTATATGAATGAATAGAAAATGGTAATAAGTAGTTTATAGAATACAATAAAATAAAATCATTTAAAACAAAATAATTTAATAAATATCAACAGTATAATTGCAAAAATTATTTTAAAAAAACGGATTACAAAATAAATAGCAGAAAATTAATCAATTATTAAAATTAGGTAATCGATATAAAGAAGAAAACGTACATAGGGTGATTGTGGGCCAGAAGGCACTTGAGCTCCAGACTGTTCTATCGGTACGAAGGTGGGACTAGACTCCACCATACAGACTGCTACATAGGAGAGTAATGTCACGATGAAAAGATATGTCCTCTGATCCATTTCGAGTCTTTGAATAAAAAAGATAGGACGAAAGTGTCATGTTAAAAAAGACAAACTTTCTTTTTCCATGTATCTCACTCATTTTCCGGCTTTTAGTGATTCAACTTTATGAATATCGTATATGAGCAACTACACCATCTGTAATCTGTGACGGATTTAAAGTGCACAACCGACCTGCATCCCTTTTAAAAGCATTTTTTTGTACAAAAAATTAAAACAGGAAATATCTCTAAGACAAGCTTGTCTGGACCGTACGCCGACTTCTATTGAATTTGAGGAAATAGGGGGAAATGGGATTTTAAATCACAACCAATCCAAATATAACCTCTATCTGCTGGTAATATCAACATGATTTTCAAAATAAACTTCAGTACACGGAACAACAATTTCCGATTATAAGCCAGAACTGCACATCGATTTTCCATGATTTAGGCGAGTTATTATCTTCTGCGCATGTAGATTAACATGTGTAAAATCTTGATTCTGTCCCGGCTTTTTGGCGGCGACCATCATGAGATCAAAGTGAAGAAACATGTACGGAATGTTATTGAGACGATGCCTTGAGACATAATGCATGGCCGTCCAGAGGATTTTTTTATGTTGGGGACCGGGGTAAAATGCAATAAATTATTGAAAATTTATTGCATTTTCTGTTTTTTTATAAATTTATTGAAACTACCCCCTACCCTAGCCCCCGCTGCGTACAATGTATCCGTACAAACCGTATCAATGTGCTATATTAGTGCCCTTTTGTGGGGCGTTAATCCTCATTACTGTCATTTATGACTTCATGGCGTAGGTCCCCTATTTGATAAGCATAGTAGCATAAACATGCTTTATCAGTCACGCAAAACAGACATTGGCAAATTATTATTCAATAAAATCTGAGAATGTATACTGTTATTTAGATCTATTATTTTTAAATTATTTTTAAAATAATGCCATAAATTGGGGTAAAAAACAAAAATATTCCAACTTTATGAGCGACAGTGTACATCCATTTATACACTGTTGGTCATAAAGGTGGAATAATTGTTTTAATCCTTCATTTATGGAATGATTATTTTTTTACCTATTTATTCCTAAAAGATCTAGATAACATTCTCAGATTGTATTGAATAATAATTTGCAAGTGTTTGTTTTGCGTGACTGCTAAAGCAAGTGTACACTACTATGCTAATCAAATAGGGGACCTTCGCCCTTAGGTAATATTATATTAATACCACTAAGTGCACTAGAATTACTAATGATACAACTACACTTATAGATCACATGTTGACGAATGATCAAAACAAGATAAAGGCGTCTGGTGTTATTGATGTTTGTATGGGCGATCATTATATGAATTACCTAATATGGAAATCACCCCATTTACTCACTCATCCTCATAATCTTGTAACTTTTAGGAAGTCTAAGGGTGTTGATTTGGATGCTTTTCGAAATGATTTAAAAAATATTAATTGGAGCGACGTTGAAAATGTTGTTGATATTGATGATTCCGCTAAGAATTGGGAAGCTATGATATTATCTGTGATAAACAATCATATGCCTTTGAGAACGAAACGGATGAGGAAGCGATGCTCTCCTTGGTTAAATGAGTCAATTTTTAATTTGATGAAAGAGAGAGATAAAGTTAAAAAGAAAGCTATTGTTAAGCAAAGTAATGAGCTATGGACTGAATATAGACGTTTAAGAAATAGGGTTACATATATGCTATCAAAAAAGCGAAAAAGCAACACTATACAAATAAGTTATTGCAATGTACAAATCGGAACGATACATGGAAATATAGACATGGTTTGGCAGTCCGCAACTAAATCCTCCCTTTCACTTTTACAAAAGCTTCAAAACAGGGCGGGCCGTGTGATAATGAAAGTAAATCCTTATTCTCATACATCCAATCAACATGTTCATGATACTCTAAATTGGGACTTTCTAGACTGCCGTTACAAAAAGCATGTATGTACTATGATTTTTAAGATTTTAAATAATTACACTCCGTCTTAATTATGTCAAATAATATCAAATATCGTACGTATAATTATTCATTTCGCTCATCCCGAAATCTAGATCTCCCTAAACCGAAGTCAAATAATTGCAAAAGAACATTCTTCTATAGGGGGGGGGGGGGGGTGACACAATACAACCAACTACCAGAACACATCCGAAATGTAACTACATTAAGATCCTTCCATACCCTAATAACTGATAATTTTTCTTAACACACTTCCTTAAACTCAAATGATTTTGCATAACCTTGTGTGTGTGTGTGCGTGTGTGTGTGTGTGTGGGTGTACGCGTATGATATTATTTTTGAATATTTTGTTACTTTGGTATTTAAAAAACTTGCATTTATGTTTTGTTTCTATTCTGCTTTATGTCGCTTTTATGTTAATATTGTAGTGTAAGGACCCCAAGGAAGAACAGTAGTGTTCTATAAACACTGCTGAATCGGGCTATCCACCGATATTTTTTGTCTATGTACATGTATAAATGTTTTACTTTGTATATTTTACTATGTATATAATGTTATCTGATTTCGGAAATAAAAACAATAACAAAAACAACAATAACTGACAGTAATGGGGACTAATGCCTCACAAAAGGGTACTAATATAGCACATCAACACGGTTTTAATTATCGGGCCCCACAGTTACGAGGCCATTGCTTTACCACTGATTTATGACTGTGCGCAGCAGGGGCTAAGGTAGGGGCCAGCCCCCACAAATAAAAAAAAAGAAAAAGAAAATGCAATAAATAATTCGTTGCATTTCCCCCCAGTCCACAGCAGGAAAAATTCTTCTGTACGGCCATACATCATGGATCAAGGCATGGCCACACAGAGGATTTTTTTTTTGTGCTACATCTCTGAAGTGTGGATCCTTAAACTGCATTATCAAGATAGCCCTATGTTGTTAAGCTAGAAAAATAAAGGTGTTAGGTCTATGATTCATAAATCAGCAGCATTAGGTTCCTTTTACATTCAGAACAGTGTATTTAACGTCAATAAATGCTAAGCAAAAACAAAATCTCTACATACAATAATAATAATAATAATAATAGTGGGTTCTTCTATAGCGCTCATGTCTGTCATACGTGACGCTCCTGTCGCTCCCAATTATCTATTATCTATTATGTATTATATCAGTGTTAAATCCATTTGTAACATTTTAAGACGTTAACTTAAATGTTCGTCATACAAATTTATCGTGAAAAACAGTCTTGCGATAAAACTTACCCGGCGTATTTAAAGATTTATTCCCAAAGCCAACAGAATACTCGCCAATGTACTTCACTCAAAAACTCTCAGTTTATGTTTACTGGAAGCGACTGCGCTACTTGACATACTAGTTATCCGATACTCAACGATAAATGGAGGGCGTATGAAGCAGGAAGAAGCCGATGTGCCTCTCTCCCTTTTATAGAATAAAGGATAAATAATTGCAGAGGGTCTATATCCCATGCGGGACATGCACAGTCCCACCTCTCATCTCGACCGTTGGGGATTCAACCCGCCCCCCCCCCCCGAAGATCATAAGTCCTGGATACGCCACTATATACGGACCACACTTTGAGTCTTGAAGAAGAAAAGCGACTAGAAGTTTCCACGGAGATAAGCAAAATATTCAGTATCGAAAATGAATGAGCTACGGGTGACCATTCATATCCTCACGGACCTCACGTAGTGTCTCTCTCTAATGGCATTTCCTCCAATCAAATTTAGATGCTCTTTTGATTAATGTTACGCCTCAAATTATGGGTAGAATTTCTCGACAGGGCTGGAAATTTCGTCGCTATCTCTGAAGGAAGGATTCATTGTCTGTTTTGACGGCGGCCTAGAATTAATACATTTAAATGGCATTTCTTTTGAAGTTCGATGTTTTCCAATCTTCCAATTTATATAAGATTGATTGAAGTAGATATTAAACCCTGTAGTCCTCTCCACCGAACATAAATCTGGATTTCTTTCATATACATGCTTTTCTTTTCACAAATGGGGAGGGGGAGGAGGAGAGGGAGGGGACTGGCATAGTTTTCGTATTCAAATGACATTCGACTAGCGAGTGAAAAAAAGGAAGGCGGACATATTACTTAATAAAATCATTAGTGCTGGAACCCCCTAGCCTCCAGCCCGTTCCCTCCCTCGTTCCTTAACACGTTACCAACCGAGGAAATACAAGTATATGCAGTGTCCTTCTCTCATGATTGGAACAAGGCTATTTCTTTTCATTAGATGATAAGATATAAACACCTCAAATACCAAGTGAAAATTCACTCTCTTCGTGTATTGTAAGGACACACTTTATTGATCGAAAGCTATATGCATATATCTGTTTATATAATGGAGATCATCTAAAAAAAGAAATTAATATTGTTGCTCCTCTTTATAGATCTGGATTCCTTTTCTAATCAATTTTTTACTAATTTGAAGTGACTACTGTTTTGCATTGCCGAGGAGAATCCATAAATCCCTTGTCAGAAATAAGTTTGTTTATGTGCAAAAGTGTGATTCTGACCCAGATTAGGGTTTGTGTAGTTTTAGATAAAAAATAGAAGCCATTGACTTTTGTCCCAATTGGATTATATCCCACATTTTGTATATCTCAGTTTCCGCATCCAAGAAGATCATAATTTTGTTTGAATCGGGGTCGTGGGACGGGTCGTGTACACGTCATCCGCCTGCTGTGATAGGTTAAATACATCGGCGTAGAGCGGAGGGGGGCGGGGGGACACGTGCCTCCTAGAGTTGAGGAAAAAAGAGGAAAGAAAGAGGACGAAGGGGAGGAAAGGAAATAAAGAAAGTAAAAATAAAATAAAGGGACCCTCTCATAACCCCCCCTAACAAATGGTGCAAAATCACATTTCATTCTCCCATATAATATTCTCCCTAGAGATACCCGGCCCCCTCATTGGTCAATGAGCCCTGCTACATACAATTTTCAAACAATGCCATTTGATTGTATGTAATACAGAGTTGAAAACAACAAACAGGAGGATGCCAATACGAAATGGTTCCTATGACACCAAGCTTCAAGTAGAAAAGGTAAATAGAACGACCTTTAATTTGTGGCCTACATTATTATATCATCAAAGTTGCTGGGTTAGAAGGCCGGCCTACAGTAACCCAAACACACACACACACACACACACACACACACGCACGCACGCACACACACACACACACACACACACACTCACCCACACACACACAAACACACACACACACAAACACACAATATATACAAATTAACGCTTTTAAAATTACTTCTAATATGCTGCTTTTGATTAAATATATCTGTTATTTTTAATTTTCTACTGCACAATCTTCATCATCTTAATCCATGATAGAATCAAAATCAAATCAAAAGTATTGTTGGACAAAGATTTAAACCAAATTTAACTTAAAGAATTTTGATCCCGATCTGTGCCACCTTTCCTAAGTCGAATACAACATGAAACATAAAACATTTAATGGGTCACGTGGTCTAAATGATTAAATAACTTTATCAAGATGAACCGAACATAATGAAAGAATAGGCGGCTCTTCACTTTTGACAAGCGCCCCCTCCACCTCTGATAATTGCCCTAATCAAATCTAAGAGGCTCCTGTTTTGCTTTGACGAGTTCTCCTTTTCCTTTGTAAAAAGTGTCCCTTCCCCCTTTTCATAACTACTCCTTTTTTACCCTTTATTTTTACATGTACCCCCTTTCCTTTTTGTTTACTTAGTGCCTCTTTTCATTATTATGAATGCCCCCATTTAAAAAAGAATCCCTTTCCCTTCTTATAAATGCCCCTTTTCATCTCTTGTAAATGACCCTATTCAATTCTGAGAGATACTCGTTTTACTTTAAAAAGTGCCCCTTCCCTTTTTCATAATTTCCCCTTTTCATCTTTGATAAGTGCCCGTTTATTTTAACATGTGCCTCTTTTGCTTTTTAATAAGAGCCACTTCCCCCATCTCATGAAAGCCCCCTTTCACCTCCAATAAATGCCCCTATTAAAATCTGATCGGTGCCCCTTTTCCTGTCGTGGAATCCAGGGGGCTTAGCTCCTTGAAGCTCAGGAGTTTTAGGAATTTAATTATGATCAGATGAACATTCAGGGGCCGTCTTATTGCCCGTGGTAGGGTCAAGGGAGGCGGAGCCCCCGCGGTCTCAAGGGTTTTAGGCATTTGATTACGGTCACTGAGATAAGCATATTTTGATACCTTATTTGTGACACTGGCATTTCACTAATTGGCGTGGGGTCCAGGAGGCTGAGCCACATAAAACTCTAGGTTTTAGTCATTCGATCCTATGTTGTTAGTCAACGATCAGATGAGCATCCAGGGGCCATCTTAAGGTCCTTGGTGGGGTCCAGGGACAGAGCCCCCGGAAGCCCAGGGGTTTTAGGTTTTTTAAATTACGGTCAGATGAGCATCCAGGGGCCCACCTTAAGGCCCTGACATGAAGGCTTCTAAATAAGCCTATTTTTGCCCGACTGTAAATTTTGGAAGTTGTAGTTTTTCCAACAAACACATATACAATTATAATTTAGAACAAAAATTGAAGAAAAATCCTTGAAAATCATGTCATTTTAGCAACATTTGAAGATCACTGGAGGAATCGAATTAGAAATTAACCAGGTTCGATTTTTTTTTTTTGGGGGGGGGGGGGGGGGCTCATTTCTTCTCACCCATATAATAAAAACACACACGATTTTCCATCCTCTCACAATACTTCCACAATATACGCGTATCGCTATTACCAAATCCACCGTTGATAATTATAGGGGCATGCGGCATGTTTAGGAAATTTAATAACTGTTTCCTTTTATTTAAATGGAATATTATTTTTTGTTTTTGTTCAATTCATGATTCATTATTTGTTTTCTTTTTGGTTGAAAAATAAAATAATAATAATAATAATAATAATAATAATAATAATAATAATAATAGTGGGTTCTTGTATAGCGCTCATGTCAGTCAGATTTGACCCTCCTGGCGCTCCCGATTATTACCCTGGCTTTAGCACGGCTGCCATAATGTTTACTCCTTTACAGCTGATTTTTTTTTCGGAGGGGGTGTGGCTTTTCCTGGAAGGGGAGGGGGGGGGGCGACTGTACTTAACGTTTTAATATAACAGTATCTCTAGCATAGAACATAAATGAAGAGTACAAAGCACATAATTATATTACTTGTGTAAACACACTTTATTTATCACCGCAAGTATGTAATCAAAATTGATATCACTAACTGGAATAATAATTAGTACACAGAGAGGGTTGTATATCAGTTATATATTAGTATAAATTAATAACATTAAATAATAAGAGTATTAATTGATTAATTTACAATTTGACGATTTCTGTTTGAAATACAGCCCACCTCTTAAAGATATAGACCGGTAATGGACAAATGCAGTTCAAGGGTTTTGGGTGCCAAGGCATTCGATATTGTTAAATATTGACTTCAGACGTTTAGATGGCAATACTTCAACCTAAATTCGCAAAAAAGCAGAAATATATTATGCCCAAATGTTCAATGTTGAAATGCATTCGCGGTATCTATCCAGTCCGGATCGATATGATAATTTACCATTTTTTTTTAAAACATCACTTTATTGTTCAAACTTGCACAACAAAGGAGAACAATAGCCCAGGACAATTCCATTTTACTGGAAAATGCAGGGCATTAAATGTACATACATGTAGATATACAGTGAATGTTGTATAACATCAACAAAAATTAACTAATTTTACAACATAGTGAAAGCTGAGGAGTGATGGATATTCCTAGCTATAAATAAGAGGAGCTAAATATTGAAATTTCATGTGGTATATCAACTTAATAAATACGAAGCATACATAATGAGTATTATAAGAGTTTGATTTGAGTTAATGTTTAATACAAAGAGGATTCTATCAGTGCCAGGCAATGAAAAGAGACGAGCAGTAGAAAAAAAAATATAAGACTGGTTACAAGGTGTATTAACCAATTTGTGTGTGTGAGTAATTACATACTTGAAATGCGAAGGCGAATTTTGGTTTCCCATTTATTGGCATTCTTTGAGTAGTAGATGACAAACGAAGAAACAATAGATAGTTTGGATAGAGTCTGTCGAACTTGTTTCGCATTGACAGGTTTTCCAATTTCTTTCAACAGCTGCTTTAGCCTCGTCACATTGTCCGGCGAAATATGACCTCTAGGGCCGATTTCCAAAGGAAGATACACCACAGAATATCCATTAGCCTGTATATCGGCAACTAACGGGGCATATTTGTTCGATTTATATTCATGTGCCTTAACTACATTCATTTCAAAGGGAACTGACAATTCAAGTATGAGGATTTTCTTTAAGTTCTTCCAAAAAACACAAATGTCTGGGATGAGGTTGGTTTGGGCACACTC